TAAGAATCCTTAATGGTTCGACGATTCAATTGTCTAAAGTCAATGCACATCCTTAGCTGACCATTTTTCTTCTTAGCAAGGACTACATTGGATGCCCATGGACTATGTGAGGGTCGTATTACACCTGCAGATAGCAAATCCTGTAGATGACTTCTTACTTCATCAAACATAGCTGGTGGGATATGACGATGTCTCTGCTTAAAAGGGGCGATGTCATCAAGATCAATGCGATGCCGGACTTGTGTTGAGTGACCTAAGTCATGATCTGATTTAGAAAAGATGTCCTTGAATTTAAGTATGGTGTCTATTCCCTCGGCAATCTGATCACGTGTTAGGCCTTCCTTGTCCATCTCAATCTGATTTAGCAATAGGTCAGAGTCTACAGGGCGTCCGGGTGGTAAATCTTGAATGGTGACTGGTTGCAGCTCACACAAAATAGCTCGAGTTGGAATGATAACAGCCTTGGTAGTGACATTTGAAATGTGCACTTCTATTGTATCTTGTCCTTGAGGATTGTATTTAACAATAGTAGGGGCAATGTCAAGATCCTGAGGTACTGCTGAACAATTGGTTGGTTGTAGCAGTGCACAAACCTGAGGGTATGCCAATCCTTTATGGAGTTGACCCTTGATAACTGTGGTACTGTTACTAGGAATGACGACACTCTGATGTTCTACACTCCTAATCAAGGCAAGTTTCCCATGGTTTCTCACTAATTCCTTCTCATGTAAAACAATACTTCGGAATGCCAAGTACCAAGGGGTATGCAAATTGGCTTTCTGTAAAAGCCTATCTCCATTTTGGTTTTTGCATACTTCAAGAAGATGTGATAACACATTTGTACCTAATAAGGCTGGCACCTTACCATTGTATCTGGTATCAGATACCACAAGGAAAAGACAAGGCACAGGGTCCTCGTTAATGCCACCTCCAGGAGTCCTAACTGAGACCTCTATAAATCCCTGATATTGGAGTTGCTCACCTCCAGCACATTCAATATCTAATAATTCATCAAAAGACTCCAATGCGATATGAGAAAGATGTTTCTCATAAAAAGATTGAGAAAGTATTGAAACAGTTGCTCCTGTATCAAGAAGGGCACGAACAGGAATGTCCTCAATGTAAACTTCGACTTCATTTGAAGTTCCTACTAGTCCTTGTGGTGGTTGCCTGTGTATGGGGTGTTGACAAGTGCCTAATGGTAACCCCTCCCCATAGGCCCTGGCAAGTTTAAAGGTCGCCTCTGATGATCCAATAAAACACGACAACCATAAGCTAAATGAGCCGGGTACCCACATCTGTAGCAAATAGGTGTGCTTCCCTGAGGCTGTGTGCTTTTCCACTGTGATGAGGTACATCTTCCTGAAGGCTGAGACATCTGTGAGCTTGGGTACTGATACTGAGGTGCAGCTGCACCTTGTTGGACATCCCGTGACTGTTCTTCACTCCAAGAAGCATGTTGTCCAAACTGATTACCGTGTCCACGTCTGGGATTTCTGCCTCTTCCTCTCCATGAATAACTCTGGGGCTGCCTGTCTTCATAGCCCTCTATAGTTGGTGGTATAAATGACTGACTCTGGTATACATGAGCGGACATCTCTGTCTGTTGTTCTTTAATCTTGGAAATATCTGCTTTCAAATCCTTCATCATGCCCTTTAGTTCCAAAAAGTCTTGATCTTTTGCAGTTTCAACAGTCGAGGCCATCTTCAGTGTTGCCGACTTGGGTTTGCTCTTGGATTTGTCTTGTTTCCCGTGGTGCAGATCAAATTCCACTTCTCGAAGGCATAGTCTTAAGTCATCAAAATTGGATATGGCATCATATTTGTAGCCAGCTAGACTCTTAAGAGACGAGTGTAAACCATCCCAAAGTCGTGACCTCAGCATCTCATCCTGTTCCTCTCTTGAGATATGCTTCAGTTCAGTAAGCTGGAACAATAGCCTCTCCAACCTAGCCAACTCCATGCTGCCACATCCTCATCATCCCGCTGACTGGTACTGTAGAACTCGGATAGCAAGGATGAACTACTACGTAGTGTTCCAAAGGCGCTCCTTAGTTTTGACAACAACTCAGCTATAGTTGCTTTGTGACCTAACTTCATAGAAACTAAGGCTGCTTCTCCTTTAAAGGATTTACGAATGGCTTGCAATACTACATCTGGGCTGTATGTCTTACTCTCTAGCAGGCAATCCACCTCATATCTCCAAAGGTCATACTCTGTGTCCTTTCCATGTTCTCCACTGAAGAATGGCAGTCTGGGAAAATGCTGGTATGACACTGATGTCGGATTACTGTGGCTTGTAGGTGGTGGTGATGTATCGCCTGGGTCTTCCATCTTGATAGAAGTGCCTTCTTGCTGCGACATTCCATGTATCCAAGCCTTTAAATCCTCTGGAGTATCATCTTTAGGATGCATCCCCATTTTTCAAAACAATTGAACCATGTTACCCAAGTCCTCTTTACTGAGTTCCATATTGGTTAGAGTAAGTGAAGCCAAAGAAAAACGTGTTTCTAAAAACACAAACCCGAAGGCGAAAAAGAGAAAAGAGATAGTGCAATGTGGCGCCAGCGCTGTTGTAATGTTTGTGACTAAATGACTAAGTATATGGTTGACTATTGAAAAGTCAAATGCACGTGGGCAAGAGTAGAGTTATGAAGGAGGCACTAACAGCTGAAAACGACATGAATGGCAACGAAGCAGTCGTGATATACAAAGTGAAGCAGCGGGTTCATCTGAGTTGATCACCTGGAAAGAATATGAACATGTGACAACCAAATTTAAACGAAAGTTCGGGAGAAGATAAGGTTCAATCACGAATCATCAATGAGAGATGAAAACAAACCAATGTTGATTTGCAGTAACGCTGACGACAACACAAGTAGGACACTACTGAATCCACAAGCTATACCCTGGGGTGCATGGGTATGTGCAATGTGCCGTGAGTGCAGGGTGATGGAACATAGTAAGTCAGTCAAACAGTCAATATAAGTTTATTGATAACCTAATTTGGGTATAATTAATGCATAACGCCTAAGAGTAACGCCTACACACTTTACTGATTAAGCAAAGGTTTAAATTCTATTGAAGCTTCATAAAACACAAAGCACACCACACCCACACATCACAACGAAATACCACGCAGCACTAACTGGTGTCTATCAGGGTACATGTAGTCATCACTAATAAATAAACAAATTCAGCTGACCTTCAGTAAGTGATTCAACTAAATAATGGAAAAAATAAACAGTTAAAGTTGAAAATACAGAATAATTGTTACAACAGGAATAACACTGCAGTGTAAAGTCAGTTACTAAGTAACAGGAAAACCATTTGAAATTTCACAGAATATTGGATGCATCCACTGAAATTAGATACCTGAAAATATGCCGGCAATGGAATACACGCTCGTGTGATGAGGCAAAATACAGCAATTGCTTCTAAGCTAGCTTTGGAATCAGTCCATGATTGAATCAATCTTGGTGCAAGTTGATCATATCGTTCAGTTTATAGTTACCACGTATTGACGTGCATATGCAGTCTCTCACTGGATCACTTGGATTGTCAGTTGATCACTGGGCTTGTCACTCACTCCAACATCAGTCTTCAACAGCTCCTCATTGGGGGCTCCATTGTAATAGCCATCAAAGTGTCTTGTGGAGGTCACGATAACACAGGCTAGGGTGTGAGAACTGTTTATTTGAACTGATGACAAACTGATGACAAACTGACACCCTGTAACAAGGAATGAGATAATAAGAATACATTTCATCTCACAATCTGACATATAAAGGCAACAATTCTACATAATCATAAGTGATACAGACATCTCTACTTTATATAATCTTGACATATTGCGGTCGTTGAAGTTACACATGCAATACGGATATGGCATGACATGCATGATGTTATATTCAATTAATTATACTATACAAATATATATAAACATATGTACCCTGTGATTCCCACGGGGGTGTTGTTGTCCGTATTCAAGATCATCTTGTATGAACCTGTTCATGATATAAAGCATACCATGAGTACTAATCTATTTACACACCTAAATATTTCATCTAAACTATTATCAATTCAGTAATAAACAATACAAATTACTGCCAGATAACCAAAACCACACATACAATCAGATATGGTATTTCTTATATACATACACTCAACACACACACACACACACACACACACACACACACACACACACACACACACACACACACACACACACACACACACACACAAAGTATATGTGACATTTGTAACACAGCATTAATCTGATATAGATATGTTTACATGAAGTGATTTATACATTACAATGGCATTAAAAGAACATAATAGTAACTAACCCTTTTAATTTCTGGTCCTGTGTCTCTCCAAGTGTCCAAGTGCAAGTTGTAAGTGCCAGTGACAAGAATGCATATGTGGAAAAAAAAGGGTTTGAAAGTGGGACACCTAATTCAAAATTAGCCAATCATTAAAATACCTGGGCTTATACTTTGATTGCTAGCTGATCTACCCGACACTGAAGTGGACTTACCCAATGAAAGTACTTAACAAAAGAAATGAGGTTTTAATGATACTAGTTTATTTGCAACTGCTTAAATATCTTATGCAGCCGGAAATAAGAGATTTGATTATTCATAAATCAGTGAAGATGACTGGTTCATATATCTGAAATTAATACAATAAATAGTTATTAATTACTGTATTGCCTGAAATATACAAATGACATTATTTTAAACATGTTAAAGTAAAACAGCAAAATGATAAAACATAATCACTATGTACAAACTTAAACTCTACCACAATAGTATGCCCACGTTTTTTTAACAAAATCGATGATCACATTGATCAGCGAAAAAACCTATTGTAACAAACAGCAAAGTTCCTGCAAGGTGTTTCTGTCTGTATTGACTTGTTTCCATTGTGTGTGCATACGATGTATGTGTGCAATGAAATCATATTAACTTTTTACTCGTGATCAATAATTACGTGGAACATAAAAAATTATGTACAATTACACATCTGTTACTGACGAATGCATAGGGGCCTATTGGGCAAACGTTCTGTATGACTTTGACAACGACTTCATCCTGGTCATGAGAATACGTAAGTAACTTAAGCTTAATGTTTTACATTTAACTGTTATGGTTGTATTGACTCATATACTTAAACGGGATGTCTTGTTGTTTTGAGGCCATGTATCTATAATTATTAGGTAAGATATTCGCATCTTGATGAAACTGCAATCGAAAATACTTTGAACAAATCTTAGAAATAGAGTCAGAAATAGCGAATGCCGAGACAGCTATACAATTTGTATCACAACGAGTGCCAACGTGCAGGTACACGTCACCATGTCTCATGTGGTTGTCTGGCACTTGGAAAGAGTAATGGGTGGTGTTAATCCTCCTTGAAGTATCACGGGTTGAATACCAGTGCCATTGTTTATTGTGTTGTCACCCGAAAGGGAGTCTACTTGTCGAGGTAGGTCACCTATTCTTTACATTTTAGCACTTTCAATACGGATTGGGTGGCCAAGTCGTAGAAGGCACCGCAATTCACGGTATTGAGTTGCGTGTCTTGACACGCTTGACACTTATGATTGTGGGTTCACATCCCGGTTCGCCCCGATTATGTTGGTAGGTTTATCAACACCATCCCAATGCTCAAGGGCTTCACCCAAGGTAAAGGTCTGAGACCTGTATCACTTCGGGCTTTTCCTGTGGAAGGTCAGAAAGATCGTATTATATAGAGGATATCATATGAGTTCCCATGCCATACAATGTTTACGACACGAGTGCCTAAATGTCGGTATTTCCGAGCGAGAGCGGGGATACACCGATATTTAGGCACGAGTGTCGTAAACATAGTATGGTATGGGCACGAATATGATATTATGTTTATTACCGAAGTCGTCAAATTGAGGAAAATAAACCCAAATCTACTTTCAAACATAGGCTTGCTACCCGCCGTCGGCTCATGTAGAACGCAACGTCACAGGAGAAACCTGTCGTCATAGCATTGTTCATGACGTCACGTCACCATGACAAAGTGATATTTTGCCCTAGGGCATCGTATGAAAAATATGAGCCCCGATATGTTCGCCCTCGTAGGTAATAATATACAGTAATCAACTCCTGTTATGGCGTTACCATGGGCATTCTATTGCAACACAGGATCTTATTTCAGTAATCCACAACAATATCCGGATTAGAATTCGTCTTCCCACGTTATCATAAAAGGCGACTAACGGGATCTGATGGTCTCTCTCGCTGATTTCGTTGATGACATGAATTGTATTCTTATTGCGTACACGGAATGCCATGAAACCAAGGCTCCAGCCAGACAAGTGTAAAGGCCGTGGTGTAAACAGTGCTACTAAAGTGTAACGTTATTAAACTAAAGAACGCAAACAAAATGCTGCTTAACATTAAGATAAGATATGAGATAAGATGTAACTTTATTATCTCGGAGGAAATTCCTTTTGCATCAAAACGGTCTCAACATGAATCTATACACAATTCACAAAAATGTACACAATAATTACATGCACAAAATGAATGCTGGTTACACACATTTACACAATAAAATAACATGATTCAATACAATTAAGCAGATTGGTAATGAGGCTGAATAATTCTAGTAGTTATCACATAATGATGATTGAAAACATTTGTTGCATTCACGAATACTGGATGGTATGGAAGACTGTCGAGCTCTGTTTTGAAGAAAGGTAATCGAAAGTGACGTCCAGAAGGAACTAGTTCAAAATGGTGAGATAAAATATGGGAAGTATCGATTCTAATGTTAGTTGCGATCAGTGCAGAATAAACGACGCTGATCAAAAACAACAATAGTTATAGAAGAAAATCATTATTATCACCTGAGAAGATTACCGTTGTTGTTTAGTAACAGAAGACCACAAATTATACCGATTACTAACCTCCAAATTACCTGATTAACTTTTACATTTAAAGATTAACGGCACGGTAGGGTAGCCTAATGGTTAAAGCGTTGGCTTGTCACGCCGAAGACCCGGGTTCGAATCCCCCACATGGGTACAATGTGTGAAGCCCATTTCTGGTGTCCCCTGCCGTGATGTTGCTGGAATATTGGTAAATGCGGCGTAAAACCAAACGCAGTCAGTCAGTCAGTATTTCGTCATAAAATTAAACGAAAATAGGCGTTAAGCTAAGGTGTAAACCCAGGTTGTAGCACTAAAATATGACACCGTCTATTAACTGGATTCTGAGGATTTTTGGTGCAATGGGAAATTCACAATAGCTTGTTGAAACACGGGACTGCTTTTTATCAAGAAGTCAGCTTTTGTACTGTCATACACAGGACAATTTTTTCTTTCTTTGTTATTTCCTTCAACTGTTATGTTTGCAGGGCATTTAGAATTTGGGAGGTAGCATAGCAGCGTATGGTATGTATTTACAACTTCTTCAATATTTACAACACGAAGTTTCTGGGCTACTTCTTGCCCCTTCATCAGGTGAATGAAGGGGCAAGAAGTAGCCCAGATTCGAACGTCGTGTTGTAAATATTAAAGAAGTTGTAAATACATACCATACGTTGTTGTGTTCATTTGTTATGATCTCCATTAAATGGATGGAAACTATAGTGGATAATTATATTGTTTATTGGAGCAGGTTCAGTACCGCTTAAACGTTTACGCAAATGACGTACCTGAAGTTGATTGTGATCGGCATGTGATGTCACAAGTGACTGTCCTTACCTGGGGCGATCAGATGTCGTGTCATTTCGATGCTCACGTGTCCTCGGGTTGGTAATTGTCAATCTACTGCATCTCATGGTATCGCCAGCCACAGTGGACTGGCGAATCTGGAGAATGCCAATCGCACGTTCACGAGCAACATTTGTAAGACGTGGCATGAGAATTATTTATATCTTAAGAATTGTTAACGTGTTACACCAGCACATTCTGCACAGGTGTAGGTGGTTTGGCAAATGGAATTGTGGTCACATGACCTGGCGCAACGCCCTGGGTCGCTTTTCACAAAAGAGCGTGCTGCATGTAGCCTGTGTGGTTCACCATAGCTGAAATGGGCGGATGCGTCAGGTTAGACCTTGGGCCCGTTTCACAAATCGATCGTAGCGCTACGACCGTCGTAAGTCTATGTTAAAGTACGGGGTTACGATCATCTTAGCGCTACGATCGCATTCGCCAATATTAACCACCTTTTCTACCCATTTTTAATATAATTCATCAAATATGAAGTTTCTTTTTTTTTGTTCAGTATATTTCTGCGGAGGTCACATTGAATGTTTGTAGTTAGATCAATGGTTTCTAAAAAACCATTAAACTATATTATTGACGATATTGTTATTCCATGTTGTTGCGAACACAGCTGGTGATGCAAGTAGTCAACAGATTGATCTGTATGAAACCGACCAGGTATAGAAACAACTATTGCGAAACTGGCGAAGGTCGTCCAAACATGATAAAAACTGTTTGTAATTGATTCAAGAGATTGATTGGGTAAATGTTTCAGGAGCTGATAGTGGATGCTATCAGCCGTATCATGACCTTGCGCTGATGCATTATTCATCTCATGTTGTGAAATTATTTCATTGTAGTTTTCGGATTTTCAGAATTTGCAATAATTTTAATCTTTTCTTGTTCATTTATATTTCTGCAAATGACGATAATATGTTGACATCGAATGTGCAGCTAAAGTTTCACACAACGTATTTGCAGTGTCAGATCAATCAGTTAATACTGAGCATATTTTTTTTAAGATTATGAACACCAGAATTTGTACTTTTGATTTGATTTCTGTATTATGTTCCACTCAGTCTGTTCTTAGATCTTGTGCCATGTATTGTTATATTGTAAACTGTAGGATGTCGGCAAAAGTATGTGACTGCTCTTTTCCTACGACCCGTGAAAATCCGGGTTAGTTGTCTTCAGCAACCCATGCTTGTCGTAAGAGGCGACTAACGCGATTGGGTGGTCAGGCTCTCTGTCTTGGTTGACAAACGTCATCGTATCCCAATTGCACAGAACGATGCTCATGATGTTGCGTACAACGGTGCTCACTGGATTGTCTGGTCCAGATTTGATTATTTACAGACTGCCGCCATATAGCTTGAATATTGCCGAGTGTGGCGTTAAACAACAAATTAACAAAGCAACTGTTTCCTACACTACACTTTGCAGTCGTCAGTAAACCATGGTTTACGAATGTGTGGTTCAGCCGAGTAGAAATAATTTCATCAGCTATGTTATTCTGTTCTTCCGAGAACAGTCCAGTTGTATCATCGCTTTATTACCTAATATCAACACTGATTATTCAATGGTAATTAGATAATGGCATCATCAAAACGGTTATATGAAACTCTTATTAGCATATCATTATCTAATGACGTCCTAATGTAATTAAAAAAATTTTGGGATTCCCCTAAATACTTCCCACTATTCCCAAACGTAAACACGTGCGCTTTACTCCCGGTCGTCCGCCAAAGGGGGACCGTTATCGCCTAAGCCTCGAAACAGAAATTATTTTTCGAAAGCTGCGTTGTTCAATTACTACTGGAGCTGGTTAGGAAATATCTCAAAACTGAATAGTAGCAGTGCATCACAGTCACCCATGAAACAAAAGAGATCAAATATTTCCTTAAAGCTTGACTGGCAGAACAGCTTTACGTGTTATTCACGGACGTGTCACTGGTCAGTACTACCGTGGCAGCATCCTGAATATTAAGATAGTGCCATTAGCGCGCCGACATGAACATCGTTTTGTGTTTCAGTGAGTGAGTGAGTGTAGTTTTACGCCCCACTCTATATTTGTACTGAACATGATTGTAAACACCATTATTATTCGGAACACAAAAAGTTAGGGATCGTGAATATTTTAAAAATATGTTTATGTAATTGTGCGCTCAGTCTTCACAACAAAAACATGTCCCCAAAAATAGCGACTTTAATGATTTTTTTTATCGTTGTATACATACTGTTTTATTGAGGATCATTGTTGAGGTAATAAGAGATAAATTGGTTTGTGTGTCGCACTCAGCAATATTCCAGCTATATGGCAGCGGTCTGTAAATAATCGAGTCCGGACCAAACAATCCAGTGA